GCCACCCCCCCCCCCAAAAGCCTGCCAGGCTTAGGGCCCCTTCACCCCTGGTGGCCTCTGCCCGGGTCTCCCTGTCACCGTGGGCAGGGGGCCCGCTGGCCCTGTCTGTGAGTTACTTGGTCTCCGAGCTGTCTGGTCTCTGTAGCAGGGCCTGAGCCACAGGCTGCCCACGTGTCCGGGGCCCGACCAGCGTCCTTGCCTTCAGGATGACCTGGTCTTCGTCGTGGGCAAGCTGGACGGGCTGATGGTGGTGGGGGTCCGCAGACACAACGCGGACGACATCGTGGCCACCGCGCTGGCCGTGGAGCCCATGAAGTTTGTCTACAGAGGCAGGTGATGCGCTGCGGGTCCCCTTGCCGTGCCTTTAGGTTCCTTCTCTAGCTAACCTTCGAGAGGTCTCCTGCAGTGGAAGGAAAGCCCGGTGATTTGAATACACAAAACCTAAAAATTCCTGCTCATCAGAGGAACTTCACAAAGAACAGGATGACATTTGCAGCGAGGATGCCAGAGTTGGAGTCCTCACCGCCCACAGAGCTCATGGTTCCTTAGAGGGTGAGATCCAGACCTCGACCTGGGCACGGAGCACAGTGCGCGTGAGGGCGAGGGCACCTGGGCAGCTGCCGGAGAGCCTCGGGAGTGCGGGCTGGAGCGGAGGGCACCCTTTTGCCTGAAATCACCCGAGGCCGTTGTCTCCTGGGATAAAGTCAGTTCGCCTTCTCTGAATGTGTTAGGCAGTCACTTTACAGATTCTCATGTCCATAGAGCACGTAAGGGGGCCCCTGGCCCGGGCCCCGGGCAGCTGGGGCGGGGAGGGGGCACCCTGTCCAGCTTGTCCAGCTCCGAGCTCTCTTTGTCCTGGAGGAGGCGGCCCCTTCTCCTAGTTTGTCCACTCAGCCACTGCATTTCTTCACTGTATTCTTCTCAAGGTAGTGGTTTCGTTACTCAAGCTAGGGTGCCTGTGAGCCTGGCTGGAGCCGTCCTTTGAATATACCTTAAAGAAACGATCAGGGAATTCTGCCAGTGGTAGGTGAGCATGGTCTGCCGGCCCTTCCCCGGGTCAGGATGACGGCCGCGAATAAGCACTCGGGAGAAACCAGCAGGGCGGGCAGGCCTGGTGGGTGCGTGCAGCCTGGAGCTGGGGCGCACAGGACTCACAGCAGAAACCGGAGACACCGTCAGTGCAAGTGTCCACCGAGGGGACTCCGGGGTAGCCCATGCCTGCTCCCGGGTGCATTAGGGAGCCTCGCATGGCCACCGACACCTGATGGCACCTGGAGGTGAAGCCGGCCCAGCGACTAGCGGGGGTGCAGGGTGGTCGCACCCGCGGATGGAGGGGTGGCCTACCTGCATCCACTAGGGAGGAGCTGTGCACTGGACGAGGTCACGGCGTCCCGACAGGACAGTGTTTAGCAGATGGAGTAAACGTAGGGCAGAGGCGGCTGTAGAGTGAGCTGATAGGCTGGAAGCCAGGTAAAGAGATTTCTCCAGAAGTCGAGAGATAGCAAGTTTAAAAGAAAAATTAAGAGGGAAGCGGAGCAAGAAGGGCTGGCATCCTGAGAGCAGGCTCAGGGTGGGGGGTGCGTGTCTGGACCCCGAGGAAGGGGGCCCGTGGGGTGGGCCTCCAGCCAGGATGCGTCAGACTCCCCGGCAGAGGGGCTGGAGCCAGAGGATGACAGTGCAGTAACGCTTTAAGTTTTTCAGAGGAACTTTTTTTTTTTTTTTTTTTTTTTTGCATTATTTGAATTCTGAGCTGAGAGAACATATTCATGTATTACTTGTATAACTTTAAAAATATTCTTGGTGATATTTTTGAATCCCAAAGAACATATTCATGTATTACTTGTATAATTTTACGGGGCACGAACCCGCGTCCCCTGCATCGGCAGGCGGACTCTCAACCACTGCGCCACCAGGGAAGCCCCAGAGGAACTTTTAACCTAGATTTTATATTCATCCCAAGATGTCACTTAATCGTGCAGTTGCAGTAGAAGTATTCTTGGGTACGTAAAGTTCAGAAGTTTTGCCACAGAAAGACTATGTTTGTGAAAACACTTTTGGGTGAGGTACTAAGAAAAGCAAGGTGTGTGAAAGTAAGGAAATGCTAATACTGGGTAAAGTTTGTTGCATTAAAGAGAGTGGGTGCACGTGTGCGTGTGCGCATGCCTGTGCGTAGCGGCCAAAGGAGCAAGCCAGAGGAGGTAGGTCTGTGAGGGCCCAGAGCTGGCTTGGCAGCCGTGCCAGCAGAGTGGGCGTGATGGGGAGACAGATGCTTGTCTCATCAAGAAAAGGAGAATCGACTCAAAGTGCAAAGGAAGAAAGAGGCGGACATGCCGAGCGTCTTCGATGAGACGCGAGAGAGAAGACCCGCTGCCGCTGCCGCTGCCGCCGCCGCTGCCGCTGCCGCTGCCGCTGCCGCACACGGGAGCAGAGCGCTGGCTGGCGCGAGACTTCACCTGGACGAAGAAATAGATAATTAACAGAACTTCTCGACAGAGCTTTCTGCGTAAAGCAGTGCGTCACATAGACTAACGTTGCAATTAAGGAAAACGTTCTTTTACAACGTGTGCCTGCTTGTTTGCTGTGCACTGAAGTGCTCTCTGTTTTGTGAATCGAAACTTATTTGATCCACGTTGGAGGAGGTTTGTGGCTGCTTCCCTTTAAATTCTGTTGGACGACGTCTCCCTCCAGCCCTGCTGCGGCTTCCGTCTGGGCGGGACGGGGCGTCCGCGTCCTGGCCCCCCTTGCCGGGCCGTCATCTCTGTCCCTTCCTCCCCCAGGATCGCGGTGTTCTCCGTGACAGTGCTGCACGATGACCGGATCGTGCTGGTGGCAGAGCAGCGGCCCGACGCCTCAGAGGAGGACAGCTTCCAGTGGATGAGCCGTGTGCTACAGGTGGGTGCGTGTGGGCACACAGTGGGCACTGGCTGAGCGCGGGCTGACCCTCGAGGTGAGGGGTGGCCCCGCGGAGCTGCCGTCCACCGGGGTGAGAGATGTAAACTTGCACGCATCGGTGTTTCCACTGTTGTGCTTTGAGAATTTCAAACGTGTAGCAAGGTGGAAGCATAGCCCAGTGAACCTCTCGCGCCTGGGCTGGGGCTCCGCGTGCTTCCCACCTCGTGACACCCTCACATGCCCTCAGCCTCACCCGCTTGCTGCGCGCTATCCTTCCCTACACGTCCACGTTTACGTCCTTAAATGATGAACTAGATTCAACAAGTTCTTTTGCGGGGAAGGGAGTAAACTTTGCCTTCAGTAAAGAGCACAAACTAAATGTCCACTCAGCTTTACTGAATGTAACCTACATGTAGAAGGAGCCCGTTTTCAAGTGTCCAGGTTGATGAGTTTTGACAAATGTACACACCCAGGTAACCACAGGTAAGAGCGCTCCCGTCTAACGGGGAACCGCTGGCTGCTTTGTGTCACCGGGGATGAGCCCTGCCTCCGCCCTGGACATCCGTGCAGACGAATCTCAGTGTGGGCTCCTGGTCTGGCATTCTTTCCCTTGGCATCACGTTTGTGTGGTTCCTCGTGGTGTGTGGATCCGTGGCTCATTCCTTTTTATTGCCAAGTTGTGTTCTTTTGCTTATCTGTTCACACCTTGGTGGACGTTGGGTTGTTAATTTTTGGCTATTGTGAATAAGGCTACTGTGGACAATAGTGTACAAATCTTTGGGTGAATTTCAGTCCTGGCGGCTTTTCAGGGAAGCCCTCTGGTGTCCCGACGGCTCCGGTTGGTTTTGTGGCGTGTGCTCGGCCCCAGCCACCTAAGAAAGGACACTTGTACAGAGCAGACAAAGTCTAGTGTCAGGGAGGCCAGGGAGCTCTGAGCTTCAGAGGATCGGTTTTTCTACTAATATTTACAACGTTTATTTTTAATGAAAATTTTAAATGTTTTGTTATGGAATATTTCTGATATACGAAACATACAAAGGAGAGCGTAACAACCCCTGTGTGTCCATCACTGCTTCAGCAATGACCGACAGTCAAGGCCCCAGCCGTGCCCCACCCATCCTCCCCGCTTCTCCCTCGGGAGCGCTTGGAAGCAAATCCCGGACTCACAGATTTTACCTGTAAATTTGAGTATTTCTTTCTTTAAAACAGAAGTACCAGTATCACATCTTAAAAATTAACAATAAAATTCTTATTCAGGTATAATTGACGTGTAACACTGTATTAGTTTCAGGTGTACCACGTAATGATTTGACTTTGTGTATATAGTGAAAGAGTCACTACGTCTAGTTAATGTCCGTCAACACACAGAGTTACAGAATTTTTTTCTCGAGGTGAGCACTTTTAAGATCTACTCTCTTAGCAACTTTGAAACCCACAGCACAGCATTATTAACTACAGTCCCATGCTGTACATGGCATTCCCAGTACTTATCACCTTATAACTGGAAGTTTCTCCCTTTTGATACCTTCACCCATTTCTCCCACCCCCACCCCCCACACCCCTCACCTCTGGCAACCACCAATCTGTTCTCTATGTCTATGAGCTCATCTTTTTGTTTTTGTTTTTAGATTCCACATGTTAGAGATCATATGTTTTTGTCTTTCTTCATCTAATTTATCTCACTTAGCATAATACTATGAAGGTCCATCTATGTTGTTGCAAGTGGCAAGATTTCATTCTTTTTTATGGCTGAGTAATATTCCTCTGTGTGTGTGTGTGTGTGTGTGTGTGTGTGTGTGTGTGTGTGTGTGTGTACACCACAGTTTCTTTATCCATTCATCCATTGGTGGATGCTTAGGTATGTTGGCTATTGTAAATAATACTACAGTGAACAGAGGGGTGCATATATTTTTTTTAAGTTAGCATTTTGGTATTTTTTTATTCACTTATTTATTTGTTTTTGGCTGTGTTGGGTCTTCGTTGCTGCATGCAGGCTTTCTCTAGTCGCAGTGAACGGGGGCTACTCTTTGTTGCGGTGCGTGGGCTTCTCATTGCGGTGGCTTCTCTGGTTGCAGAGCATGGGCTCTAGGCACATGGGCTTCAGTAGTTGTGGCTCTCAGGCTCTAGAGCACAGGCTCGGTAGTTGTGGCACATGGGCTTAGTTGCTCCGTGGCCTGTGGGGTCTTCCCGGATCAGGGCTCGAACCTGTGCCCCTGCATTGGCAGGCGGATTCTTAACCACTGCGCCACCAGGGATGTCGATGTCCAGCATTTTTGGGTTTTTTCCAATAAATACCCAGAAGTGGAATTGGTGGATCGTATAGTAGTTCCATTTTTAGTTTTTTGAGGAGCCCCCATACTGTTCTCCATGGCGGCAGCACCAGTTTACTTTCCCACCAGCAGTGCACGAGGGCTGCCTTTTCCCCACATCCTCGCCAGCACTTGGTATTTCTTGTCCTTTTGATAATAGCCATTCCAACAGGTGTGAGGTGATATCTCATTGTGGTTTTGATGTGCATTTTCCTGATGATTAGTGATGTTTAGCATCTTTTTATATGCCTGTTGGCTATTTATATGCCTTCTTTGGAAAAATGTCTATTCAGGTCCTCTGCCCATTTTTTAATTGCATTATTTAATTTTTGTTTTTGTTTTTTTTGCTGTTGAGTTGTATGAGTTTCTTATGTATTTTGGATCTTAACCCTTATCAGATATGTTATTTGCAAGTATTTTCTCCCATTCAGGAGGTTCCTTTCGTTTTGTTGATGGTTTCCTTTGCTGTGCAGAAACCTTTTAGTTGGATGTAGTCCCACTTGTTTATTTTTGCTCTTGTTGCTTTCGCTTTTGGTGTCAAATCCAAAAAAATCATCACCGAGACTGATGTCAAGGAGTTTACCATAGCCTATGTTTTATTCTAGGAGTTTTACGGTTTCAGGTCTTACATTCAAGTCTTTAATCTATTGTGAATTAGTTTTGTGTGTGGTGTCCAGTTTTCCCGACACCATTCATTGAGGGGGCTCTCT